TCACCCAATTCTTGCAAATTTGTGACAGAACAATTCATAATACGTGCACCAATTCATTATAAGTGCAACAGCGAACGACGCAGAGGACAAAGTTACTGACTTTTTCCCCAACGTTCAGAGTAAAGGCGAAATCTGCAGTGACTAAATTCAGTTGCCAAGATGAACATATGACAAATCGACCGCATATCACCCAATTCTAAAGCAAATTTGTGACAAAACAATTCATAACAAGTGCACCAATTCATTATAAATACGCACCAGCGAACGACGCAGAGGACAAATCAGAGACTTAAGAGGGGGAATGGAAACCTAACCTGCCTCCGTATGAGATAATTAATTCCGAAGGCTAAATCGCCGATCGGCCATTTCCCCAACGTCTCCGAATACGTAAACCTCAGAGTCTCCGACAGCGTGGAGATCGTCTCCAGCCAGGTTGCAGGCGCCTGAGCCGGCCTCCGCGACAGCCGCTTCTTGGCCGATCGGCTCTTCGACTCCGACAAATCGCCGCCGCTAGAATCCTCTCCGTCCGCCGCCGCCGATGATATCCGCCTGCTCACGACGTAGTACAGCAGAACCACTGCCCCTGCTGCCGTAGCCACTGTCGTAGCTGCCATCGGCTTATAACTCCGCGAAAATCAACAAATTCACAATAATTACAAAAAAAAACAACAAAATCACCAATAGCTGTTCATTTATGCAAATGTGTAATCGAAGAAAGATATAACTGAGATGCGAAAATTCCAATGATACTAAAATCTGTTAGTGATTGATTTGTGCGTTTCATCAATAAATTTAGTTCGTGCCGATAGAAAGGAAGGAGGGTTGAAAAAGGGGTTAACCAGAAAGTAAAAGCTTAAAGGATGTATTTACAGATTTAGCCCTTGCAAAGGTTGGTGACTGTATTAAATAAATGTGTAATTTCAGTTTGTGCTTGCTTTTAGATATGGAGATCCATCAAAATCCCATTTGCCTTGATTATTGTAGTGCAAAGTGATAACGTCGAAACCAACAATAACAAAATTTTGTTCATAAAAATATAAAATTATATTAGTGATAAATGATTAGGGGATTTTCATGATTTTGTCTAACTAATAAAAAATAAAATAAAATATAAGTAATTAAAAAGCAGAACAAAAATAAAACGAGCGAGTCAAATAGAAAAAAAATATCCAACATTTGATCACAGATGCAAAATAATTCATCTGCCAACGTTTAAATTGGTTACAGTCATCGTTACAATCTTACAGTTTACATGTTTGATAATCATGAAATGATCTCTAATTATTTTTCTACTCAATAGACATCCCTAGATAAGATTATAGGATTTAACCTATAACAAACATTGAAAACTAGAAGGACCACCAATTCTAGACTATAAACACACATATAGGCTCATTTATACTAGATTATATATTTTCCCAAATATGCTGAAAGAACCGGGGGGGAATGGATGCGGTCCCACGCATGTGAAACACACTATAAAAGGGTGAACCAAGATGCACCTTAGTGATGTTTGTCTCAAAACCAATTGACATTAGGAGAAGTGGCCCACTAGGCATATATGTTATATTTTCCCTGTATAAGCGATGTGAGACAACGCACAAGTAGTATTATATTCTAATGCGTCCTCTCACTTGTGGGTCCTTCATACGAAGTCCAAGCCCAACTAGGTTGGGTAACGAGTACGTCATCGCTAGGACCCACGTAGGCCGACCCTGATACCATGAAAGAATCGGGGAAAACGCGTGTTGTCTCACACACGTGAAACACACCATAAGAAGGTGAGTCTAGATGCACCTTAGTGAGGTTCCATCTCAAAACCAATAAGTAGTACGAGGAGTGGCCCACTAGGCTTGTATGTTAGACCAATTTTCCTTGTATAAACGATGTTGGATAAGTCACAAATGGTGTGTGACCATCCATTGCTTATTACTGGCACGGATTCCACGATTAAACCATAGATCTCACGAAGCGGTATATTCTAGTAATCAACTATGTTATTTGCCAACAACATTAGAACAATCAAACAATTACGATTTTAATGTATTAAATAGTGATATACGTTTCAATAATTAAACAAAGGGTCAGTTTACATCAATCAACCAATCAGACACTTGATAATAAACACAAGAAATATGTAAATAAAATATAAGTAATGAGTATAAGTTCGATTAGATCTTGTTGTATCACAAATTGTTATTTTTACCGAGTACCGAATCGAAAGATTGTTCCCCGGGTCGATCTCACGAGGAAGGCGGTTCGCAATTCAGCTTTGGTGTTGCTAACACATGAAATGAAAGAAAATCCTAAATATTCTAATCAGATAAGGGGGTGAATAATTATTGTTGTTATGCGATTTTGTAACAACAAAAATGTACACCCTTATTCCGTGAATAATCGGTGTAGAAATAATACTACTATTTAGTGATGTTTAGAAGATGTATTTTTATTGAATAATTGTAAGAAATAAATGAAGAAGGTGCCAGAGAGAATTGTATGTATATCTGTTCCTGGAAAAACCAGCTTCAGAGGCCCTCCCTCTGCTTTGGATAAGTGAGAAAGATCAATCCGGATCCTTTTTTCCCCCAGGGCGGTGCCCTTTTACTTATTGATAATGGAAAATTAAAAAAGTCTCCCCATCCCTATCTATTTAGCCCCTATTTATATTTGGGCTAATATCAGCCCGTATATCTAATGGGCTTTTACGATAAAACATGACCGCGCAGGGCCCAATAATAAACATGACCGCGCAGGGTCCAATAATAAACATGACCGCGCAGGGTCCAATAATAAATATGACCGCGCAGGGTCCAATAATAAATAATAGCTCCGACTGATATTTGTCTTGTCAGCAATTGACATGTCCGTATAAGTGGCTTCTTTGTGACATCTGGGTCGGGTCGGCGGCATTGAATTCTGATTAGTTTTGGATGTGGAGTGTCTTCTGGGAACTCGGTCAATATAAATCAGATAAAAGAACCTGCTATTTTATATTTATTTATATATATCCACGTGAAATATCTTAATAGGCGAGGCCAAAATTAGGTAACAACAATTATCCACTAAGAAATAATAAAAAGCATAAATCTACCTAAAAAGATCAACGAAGTAAAGATGGAGAAGCTAGGGAGTCGGGGATAATCAATTCATGTTCTATCCAAAGCCAGGACATAAATATTCTATTCCAGGTTGACGCTCTCGCTTAGACATCTAGCGGTTCGTTCCCAATAACTCTTCGTAACAAGGGGTTGAACATAAACTCGAGCATACGCCACAGGCCAATTATCCCATCCCAATAACTTTTCGTAACAAGGGACGAGTCATTGACAAACGCGTATTTCAACCCAAAACCTATAGACTATTCAGTTACTAAATCATCTACCTCATGTGAGCCTAAGTCTACGACTTCTCCCCTTTCGGTTCTAAAAGTCGCTAGTTAGACTAGAAGGTGTTCAATCAACTAATCATAGAAAATCAACAAAACCAAACTCGACAACTCAATATCCAATTGTTACCAATTACGAGATCCAAGTGTCACCCTTCGATTATATCAAACTATCAAGCTCAATTTCATCAATTCTGAATTAAATCAACTCACATAAGAACGAACAATTCAAGCCTGACAAAATGCAATTCAAACAAGAACAATCATCCCCTATCCCTAGCAATAAGAATTAGCTACGTAAAATCGATTCAACACAATCAATCATTATCTCCAAATCAACCATTTTCAGGAATTGAATAAAAAGAGAAAAACTTACAATTATTCCCAAGTTCAAGTATTGAATTCCAAATACAAGCTTAATCCCTAATTATTAAGAAGAAGAAAAAAAATGGAAAAGAAGGGTAAAGATAAGAGGAGAAGAGAGGAAAAGAAGAAGAAAGAGGAAGAACAATGGAGGGAGGAGTCAATTTTTGGAGCTAGGGTTCCTCCCCCATCGAGTACCCTCCTCTCCTCTCTTCTACGGTGAAAAAGATGAAGAAAAACTGAGTTTGGGGGTCTTGGGTTCGATCTATTAAGCTTCCCATTCGAAAATCCGCAGAAATCGCGCCAGTTACAAAACAGACCTTAGCGTCGTTAAGGGGTTAGCGGCGCTAAGCCTCCTTAGCTGTTAGCGGCGCTAAGGCCCCCGGCAGCTTTGCATGACTTTACGGTTTGGGCTTGTTCGGGCTCATCTGGTATCGGAATTCAATTTCGCTTTTTCCTACGCGTCGCTAACGAGCCCCTCTTTCTAATGGTGTCAGCTTCCCCAAAAGATTCTAAAAAACCTGTTCTCCCGAGGTCTCCAATCTACACACCAAAAATAAAAAGAGAACAGAAAAAGACCGGAAAACAAACGGAAAATACCGCAACACTTAAATGAACGCAAAACACATAATAAATGACAAAAAGATCCTAAAACCACCTAAACAACTCAATACAGGGGAAAAAGAACGGCAAAAAGACAACGAAAAACACAACAAAAATGAGACAAACGGATCTCACAAATCATGAAAAAACCAAAATAAGAATAATCTTTTGATAAAAAAAAAAAATTAATTTAGCTATCCATAAGCACGAGAATCTTCTCCCAGTTATTTATAAACTGAAATAAGAAAACAAAACAAAAGAAAATAGCGTGTGAGGAGGAGGAGGAGGAGATAAGGGAAGAGAAGAGAACAATCTAATCTAGCATATATTTTTTTATATATATATAAAAAGAAAACCTAATCTATATTTATATATATATAAAGTTTGATTATTTTTTAAACAGTAATTATTTCCCGCCAAAAAAATATTGTTTACTAATTCTGGAAACTATTTAAACACTTTATGGTATATTTTAAAAATACATTTTAGGTAATTGTTAATTGATGTATTATGGTAATACTAATCACATATATAAATCTCTAATATGTCAAGATACACATTTTCTAAGACACTAATATTTGTAATCCCTCAGATTCTGCATTATAATAATTTTAATATGCATAATATTTAATATAATCACTAAATATGCCACTAATTAATTAATATCGTCTTGCATGTCATATAAAAACTACACTAATATTTGTAACCCCTCGGTTATAAATTCAAATCATATATTCTATGGAATAGTTTAGAATAAAAAATATTGGGAATTCCATTTATATAAATAAGTTTATATATGGTAACAAATATTTACATAAATATTTTTTACTAAGATGATATATAATTCCATTTGTCTGTGTCTTTTTTAATTTGTTGATAAATAAATTTAATTTTTATTTATAAAGATAGTTGGAATTAATTTTAAATTTCTATATGTGATATAGATGAAAATAAAAAATCGTCAAAAAATAATTAATTTGATAAATCATATCCAAAAAATGGGCTAAATATAAAAAAGTTATTATCATTTAAAGTCATGAATATAATAAATTATGGTAGTTAATAAATAAAATAAACGAGAACAAATAATATGGATTTTCTATGGTGAGATTTGATTTTGAGAAACAGAAAAAATGACAAATATAAATTTATAATTACCAAAATCAGAAATAAATTATTTATGTGAAGGACATCATTTTAATATGTCAACATCCAAAGCTTGCTAACTTGCCACTTAGACTTCGCACGTTCTAAAATTATATA